TCTATGGGGCCACCCAGCCTCGGTGTTGGTATCATCATCAGCAGGGTGGCGCATGATTCACACATGTATCTAGGTGTGGTTGCAGAGGCTTGTGCCCACTCTAAGCGCTGGGAGTCGCCTTTGCCTTCTTGCTGCTCTTCTGCTTCTTTGCCAGTGCCTTGTGTAGGCTTGGCATCACACCACCGCGTGACAGCGTCACGTTCTGCAGCAGTGCACCAAGGTCATCGTCGTGGCGCACAGCGAGTGTCACCGTGCGGGGTGTCAGGCGCTTTGGCTTCTTTGCCTGCTGGCTCGCCGCCTTCACGGAGAGCTCCAGCAGCTCAGCGGTCAGGTACTCCAGCACGGCCGCCATGTACACTGCACCAGACGCACCAACGCGGCGCGCGTACTGACCGCGACGCAGCAGTGAGCCCACGCGACCCACGGGAAAGATCAGACCCGCCTTGGCGGAGCGGCTGCCGCCGTGCTTCTTCGACGCCTTCTTTGTCACCTGCTTGGGAGTTGCCATTGGTTGGTTGTAGGTAGTTGCTTGGTGCTTTGTAGCTGTTTTTCTAACAAGGAAGGGAGAGGAGAAAACAAATAAAGGAAGTGTTTGTAGATGTTTCGGTTTCTAGATTAATTCTCTTTTTGCTGATTTTAATTATTGGTGTTTTTTTTTTTGTTGTTGTTGTAGCAATGTTCCACATTGTTCTTGTATTTGTTTTTTTTGTTGAGGATATTTTACATCTTTTTCGTCGTGTGTTTCAAAACATTGATTTGTTTGAGTGTTATAGGTCATGTTTTGTTGTGCATACAACGTCGTCTTTCTGTTTTTTGTATTGTTGTTGGTGTTGGGAGAGGTACATGTTGTACTGATTGAAATCTATCTTTTTCTTCAACATACATTGTAGTTTTGGGATCGGCCTGTACAACATTAAACGTGGAATGATAATCTGTAAGTTCAAAACGTAATTTGGGCGGTGGGACATCGTAGAGGTTTGGAGGTGTATAGTTTCTTGTCCAATCTGATAGTGTTGTTTTTACCTCATTAGAAGGTAAAGAACTCTTTCCCGTTATTGTGTTCTCCTTATTTGTTGCGATTGATTTACCTGAATCTTCATTGTGTGAAGTCTTTTGTACTGGTGATCGTAGAGGAGCAAGTGAGTTTGTGGATTTATGTACATTTTGTGCAGGGTCGGAGAGGCCTAGTGTTCGCGATAACCAGACCGATCGGTCAAAATGTTCTCTTGTTTTCCAGGCGCTGACCGCAGGATTATGGCATTCCGGATCTCTGGGCTCGTTGTATTCTAATTGTCCAGCTCCCCCTACACATTCATTTCCAAAGTAGAATGCTTCTGCGACAAAACCATGTTCCTTTCCTGTTTTGTTAGATGCTATTAATGAATCTACAGTTACTGCATCGCATCGTAAACGATTTTCCTTTTCTCCACTTTTAGTTCCAATTCCTTTTCTAATGCGTTCTGTGCTACCGCTTTCCGAAGTATTAGCAGTATCACCACCTAAACTCTGAAAGCTAATCCTTTTTTCATCGAGAGTAGCACGTGTTACTGTTTGTGATGAAACCATTAACCGGTTTAATCGACTTGGAAGTGTCAGTTTATGAGCCACCTCTTTCTGCAACACGGATAAATGAGTAGTTTCAAAGTTTTTACGATTCGTTTCACCTGTACATATTCGTCTATCTCGCTTTGAAAGGTGACCAGGTAAGTAGCGCTGTAAGCTGGAATGCACGGTTGAAGGTGTTGTAGTCATTAACTTCTGTACGGAAAGAAACGATGATACAACTATACTGATAGAGAGATAGATAGATAGATAGAAAGAGAGAGTTCAAAAAAAAAGAAAAAAAAAAGAGGTGAAATCTCCAGAACGGCTCTCTTACCTTTAGATATTTCCCTGTTTTATATTTTTTGTTTGATATCATAGAAAAAAGAATAAAGAGAAGTAAGTTAAAAGAATGATTGACAGTATGGTAAAATAGCAGATGTCCAGAACATTTAGGATAGATAGAAAAATATGTAACAACAAGGTTGGAGAAGCAAATAATTATTATGCAGTACTGTTATCCCATTGCTTCTTTTTTCTTTTCGTGATCAAAAAAAGAGTGTGGTGAAAGAGATGCTTCGTTTTGCTGTATGAAATCCATCAACTCACGCAACGCGTGTAAGAGCTGAACTGCTCTCTCATTATGCAAGATGTGCTCAATGCGACGTCGTTCAATTCGTTCCATGGAACGTCGCATATGAACCTCTCCTCCTGAAAATAAACCCAATTTCCAGTTGGCCGTACCCATTGTAAGATCTACATATATTTGCCTACACGCTGAAAACTCACGGCGTCGAAGATGTTGGACCATTTGAAAAAGACTGTCCACAACTTTTACTGGAATGATTCGTGATACCTCATCAGATTTACGATTACTATTACTTCTAAACTGAAGAAGTTCCTCAACATCATGGAATGCGTACGCCAAGAAATCAAGCACATTCTGTCGCACACGGTACGCCTCACGCCAGGCTTCTAATGCCAACGCTACTTCACGACCTCGTGTGTGCCGTACAACATCAGGCAATGCATGTCGAGAGAGCAAATATACATTATATGACCATCCTCCTCCTCGTTCAGTATTTGCTCCATTGCCTCGTAATGCTCCCAGCCAGTGCCAACACAGTGCAATCCAAAAGGTTCGTAAAATAGTAATAAGAGGCTCAAGCTCAGGAAGCATCACCTCAGAATATTCGTGGAAGTTGTCCATCGAAGACTTTAATGTAGAAAGGAGATCATACTCCTCCTCTTCACAAGATACAAGGGAAACGGCGGTGGTATGAGATGTATCCTGCAGTCGTAGTTGAAGAAAATCACAGAGTGGAAGCGGTAAACCGCTAACACGTTGCGCTTGCAGCTTGTGCTTGTCATCTGATGTGTTATTAGAGGATGAAGGGGTATTGACAATCCTAGACATATACTCCACAGAACGAGAAACTACCTCTTCCTCTAATTGTCGTCGTGCCATAAACTCTGCTTCTGAGAGTTTCTTTGACTGCGTCTCTCTTGAGGGAGAGGAGTTTAAAGGAGGTCGTTTACCAGGAGATTCACCTTCAGTGGGTGCATTATTGGGCACTGGAGGGGTTTCATTGGTAGGAGATCGTTGACGTTTGCGATCTGGATGGTTTGCCTGTACCTCCTGCAACGAAATATCATAAATAGAATTAGTTGACGTCGTAAGATTGCTCTTGGAAAGAGGGACAGAAGGCGTTTCTGCATTTTTTAGCACTGTCATTGGTGTTTCAGTAACTGTTGCTTTTTTTTGCAGCCGTTTTTGAAGGCCAGCGAAACTCATTGTACCTTAGTTTCCTTCTTCTTATTTCCTTTTTCAGTTCACACCTTTCCTGGAAGAAGTTCAATAAGAGATTTACAAGAAGAAATTACTTAGGCAAAACACGCACATGATGCGGGAGCAGAAATGAAAAAAAAAAAAAAAACAGTAGAACAACCTGGTAGAGAAATACCAGATCATTTATCTCTCTATATTTCGAACTATATTTCTACATTCCAAGATAAAACAAAGGAAGGGGAAGGTACACATATCACCACCATATAAATAAATAAATAAATATATATATATATATATATATAGTCGTTCACACGCAAGCCTAAAACCACTTTCTTACCTAAGGTACATTTCAGGGTGTTTGCTCCTTATTGAGACAAGTTTTCTTTCAATAAATAATAGATTCTTTCAATGGAGTCTAACCAGGACACCTTTCACCTTATTTTTTGTTTTTGTGCGACTGTATGGAAAAGAGATATACAAAGCATCCCTTCTCACGAGACATTTGAGGGTTTTAAACGGCGTGATGCTGCAGTAGTCGATGCAGCTTCACCATTAGAAACCACACCAAATATAGGCCCTTTCACAACCTCATCGACAGCAGGATTGTACTCAGGAGTAGCAATAAAGCGTTTAAACAAATTTTCTAGACGAGTACGCAACCCTTTAAGAGAAGATGCTGTACGACCGCGTTGAAGTAAATCAGACTCGCGATCCACAAGTTCTACAATTTCTCGTGTTAGAGGTACATCAAACTCCTTTACCGTCCACTTTACATGCAAAAGCACATCAAGGCGTGCTTCAACAGAAGAAGGAGTTTCAGTTAAAGCCAAATACAATTGCCGTAATTCTCGTGCACGTTCTGCTGCCTGTGTAGTAACCATAACTTTGCCACACTGCTTAGCTGATGTCATCAAAGCTAGTATATCTTCGAACCTACGTGCACGACGGTTCTTAATTGCTCCTCTACGTAGAGTTTCAAGTTCCTGAAGAAGCTGCAGCTCCTTCTTTGTGAGATCAGCAAGAGCAGATCGCTTTTCCATTTCGCTAAGCTTCTTATCAGAAAGAATGCGTGAAGCTTCAGCTGCTCGCCATGCCTCCAACTCTCGACGAAGTGTAGCAAAGTCATCAGCTGTGTGAGGTGTTGCACGTCTTCTACGTTCAAACTCCTCACGACGTTGCTTTTCTGCCTCTTCTGCGGCAGCTTGTGCAGCGGCTCCATCAAGGAAGGCTTGACGCGCTGCATAGAGCTCCCGATAAATCTTACGTGCCTTCCATTTTCTATACATTTTTTGTATAACGACAGCTTTTTCTGACTGTAAATCTAAAAGCTGTACTGCTGAAAAATAAGGTTTGGCAATGACAACTTCATCATACCTTTCATCCACCTCATAGTCTGGCCGCGCTGTCTGCGTCGTGCACTCCCGCAACGTCTGACAACTTCGCGAAACCCCATAAGTTTGCGTCTTTTTTGAAACACCATCTCGTGGGAGGGGACCATATAACAATTTTGCGAGACTCGTGTCACCAGGTGATGTCAGTTGTGTTGCCGCATGAAGGAAAACGTGGGAATGATCTTTTTTAGATCGATATCCACCTAAAAAAGGCGGTCGAATATCTTTTGAATCTTGTAGAATTGCCAAAGTAATTATATTTTCGCTCTTGGTGGTATTTCGAAGTTCTCGTAAGGCATCATCAAGAGTCAAACCACGTCGACGAGCAGCTACGAGATCGGCAGGTCGCACAGATTCCAGTCTTGAGCGAACACGAACGCAACGGAGAAGGTTATCATCTTCGCTCAGCGACTGGAGGTGAAGTGGCACTTTGTCATCAATAAAATATACATCAATCCACAATCGCCCTTTTCCGGGAGCTGTCTCCTGCTCATAAGTCACAGTTTCACCAAAACGAATACGTTCACCATTGTGAAGGAGTTTTATCACCTCTGGATGTGTTCCAAGACGAGAAGAAACGGACTCAAATAGAAATCTAGTAGCAACCACCCCACCTGGACTTCCTGGTGCTTTAACTACTATACGAAACCCCATTGGATGCACTGTGGCGTCGACAGCAACATCAACTTCAGGATGCATAATATACTCATTAGGAGCTTGTTGAGGAACAGAAGTAGATACATTGTGATCAGCTGCAGCAGTAGGAGCAGGAGTACTAGGGAGAGTAACACCGGCATCAGTAGTAGGCAACGCAGAGGGTGATGAAAGACCATCTTCACCAACTTCTGCCTGTGCACTACGGGAAGGTTGTTTTGGTAGCAATACTTCTTCTTCATAGTTGGTTGGAACAGCAACAGTTTGTTCTGGTAGTTCCTCTACTTCGTCACGAGGGCCCTCTTTTTGATTCACCTCTGCTTCAACATTAAGAACTTGGTGGCCTTCCCTCTGTTGGGAGAGTTCTGTGTCCTCATCCTTAAAAGCATTCTGCTCTTCGTGGTGTACAGCCTCTTCAGACTCTTGAGTCTCCTGCGGCTCTTCGTGTTGTACGGCCTCTTCAGATTCTTGAGTCTCCTGCGGCTCTTCGTGTTGTACAGCCTCTTCAGTCTCCTGAGTCTCCTGCGGCTCTTCGTGTTGTACAGCCTCTTCAGATTCTTGAGTCTCCTGTGGCTCTTCGTGTTGTTCAGTCTGCTCTGGATGTGCAATTTGGTTTGTATCCCCAGTATGTTGCTCTTCTATACGTTCTTGAACCGGTTCCTCCCCATCACTTTGTTGTGCTGGCGCATCAGGTTGATCGGACAGCCGCCTGTTTCCTGTGGGGTCCATGTCTCTTTATTCCGGCACAAACTCACTATTTCCCTATTAAAGAAAAAATTTTTAAGACGTAGACGAAAACAAGAACGAGTAAAGAAAATGAGAAATAAACAAAGAAAGAAAAAAAAAGCATTATCAGCGAATGAAATGTGTCATTTTTTTTTTTTCCGTTTTATTGCAAGGTGGACAACTACCTAGAAGGCTTCAGATGCGTTTACCGTCCATATTAGTTGTTTCTTTTTCTCGTCGCTCAAGCAACGAAACCTGCTCCAGGACAAGTTTTTCATTTTGAATCAAGTATACTTGATACAATCCTACGCCCACAATAACACTCACACTCAGGCCAGTTAGAGCTCGAATCATAATACAAAGAAACCGAAGCGCACCCCAACTCTATTCACCCTACAGGACTACCTTGCCACGTTGGCTCCCTAACTCCAGAAAAAAGAGTGTGAGACGTTAAAAAAAAAACAAAAAAAAGTTGCTTAAAAAGACCATTGAAGAAGATCCAAGTGCCTTTAAATGGCTAGAATAGAGGAATATGTTTCAGCATATGGATATGTTGCGTCTGATAAGCACAAAAGGATGATAATAAATAATAATAATAATAATAATAATAATAATAATAATAAAACGTAGATTGAAGACAAAGAAAAATCATCTTATTACTATCTAAGCTACAAAAAGTGCTATTATATCCTTCTATTCCTCATCAAGCTACTTTCTGCTACTTTCTGCTATTCCTTGCACTTTTACAATATGCAACAGCAACACAACGAAGACATACAAGACGGTTTCTGGAAATATAGTCTCCGTTTCTGATTTAAAAGATTTACACATAACCTGCTGTTTTAAGACATTCCATAAGTTCCTCATGAAACTTCGAAGCATCACGCGGTTCGTATATAGAAGGTCCCGTTTCAATAGTTTGCACAGATTCAGTATTATGGTAAAGATTACTCAGAATATCCACTGCATCCTGGCGTTCAAACACCAAAGATTGTGGAAGCTGCGCTGCTGTTGGCGCTGGTGGTGGTGTGGGATGCTCGGGGGCAGCAGGAGGTGGTGGCTGTGTCGCAACGTTGGTCTTGCGGTTTGATGAGTCCTCCGAACGTGCAAGCGCACGTTGGCTTACCCATTTCTTTGTGGCGTTTTGTGACGGTGCTTTTGACATTAAAGTCTCCTTTATTTCACCTTCTCTTATTGCTTAACTAATTCTTACAATGGTAAAGTAAAACAAATATATATATTAAGAGAGAAAAAAAAAATGAAATAAAAGAAGTTTTCTTAGAATGAAGCAAGTTTTTCTCCCCCACAGAAACGTATATACTGAGTTCAAAAGAAATAATAATAATAATAATAATAATAATAATAATAATAATAATAATAACAATAAAAACACAGAACATTGATGGCTGCGCAATACCAAACCATCTCTTGTAAGTCATTTCCTCGATTTCACAACATCTTCACGCTTCCGAAACTTTCCCCAACCTTTTTTTTTCATTCCTCTTTCAATTTATTTTTAATAGTGGTTTGTTTTATTGACGTATTAATAAAGAAGGAGAGAAACAAAAGAGAAACTAATGTAATCCCTACCTCTATTTCTTCAGGCGTAAGCAAGAAGCAGAAAGAACCCCAAGAAGTTGTCATGCAATACAGAAACAGAAAAACTGAGAAAGTTAGCAAGGAAAAACAAAAGAAAGTAGGAGACTCACATATGTGCCAACCATTGCCTCCATGTTTCAACCCCACTACGAATATCTGTAACTCCTATGGCATCAATAGGGTCCATACGTTCATCAAGTACTAAATCAGTCAATAAAGGAGGTAGTTTCTCTTCAATAAGTTTATTGACTTCAGTTGCACTTAATAAATTTGCACATCCAACCAAACCATGTTCTCCACGACTACCACCTGAAGCAGCACGTAGACGTGGCTCATAAACATCGATACGCCAACGAAGAAAGCCATAGGCACCGCGACGTCGAGGGAATGCAGAAGAAATCACTTGTTGATCATCAATATCCCCTCCTGTCTTTTCATAAGATCTACCTGCCTTAACAGCACCGTTACGTTCCCCATTAGGGTTTAGAAAGTATTCTTTCGCTGACGAAGCCAAAAAAGAACCAGGAAGAAGTGGAGAACCCCATGGTAATGCATTTGGACCACTAACTAATTCTCCATTAGATTGAAAAGTTCCTTGACGCCATTTTAACCATAAATCGTACATAATACGCTGCCATGTGCGTGAACACTGTGCAGTATCTTCACTACCATTCTTTTTACTATTATCTAAGAATGGTACAGCAGCTCCTAATAATACCATTCGTTGAGTAGCAGGATCTGTTTTCTCAGATTTCTGATGCGCTCGCCATTCTAAACGCACCAATTCCTCTTCCATTTCTCTCCTTGCCATTAATTCTAATTCCTCATCATTATTACTAACAGTGGATGGTGCTGCTCGACGCAACGCTTCAGCGAAAGCTGTAAAGGCACCAGCAGCCTTCAGTTCTACAATTTGTTCAGCATTAAAAGAAAATATATTATCATCGGTAGAAGTAACCACGGAGGCTGAAGGATGTCGCTTGTGTCCCTGTATAGTATTGTTATGAACGGATAAAGAGGGATTTGTTTTTAAGAATGAAATCGCCGGATTACTATTGGAAAAACTGTTAAATATATCTACCCTTCCATGTTCAGCTGCAATCTTATCTATCGCATAAACTGGAGGTTGTACAACCACAGAGTTTGTAGAAGGTGCTAAACCACTCTGCATCCCAAGTGCTAAAGAGGCATTGGAACGGCGCAACATAGAGGTAAGTGGTGCATCAGGCCAACTAAAACAGTATGACTGCTCATCTTGAAGCAAACCAACCTGTAGCAGTTGTTCAACACCTACAGAACGCTCCTCCACCGCATCCAGAGGTCTGTACCGTTTTCTAAGCATTTTCCAGACAACACATTGTTTGTTTGCTTTTTTTTTTTTATTATAGTAATTTTAAAGAAAAAAAAAAGAGAGAAAAAAAAAAACAAGAATCATAGTCCGTAGTAGTAATCTACACGATAAGCGCAAATTTTCAAAGCTCATATTATCACTGTAATTTTCGTCTTCATATCTATTTTCTTTACTTTTCCTCTTCAGTTACTAGTTGTTGAAATAATTTGAGTACCCTAACTATAATGTGTAATAAGCTAGATACCGTCTGCGGTAATGGCAGGTACATCAATAACTGCAGGTTCTGCAGAAAGTCCAGCACGTCTCATTGAAAGTAGTGAAGCATAAGGAATAGAAGTACGGTCAGGAAGCACCATTTCAGGATCTTCAGCTAGTGTAAGTAACAAATGAGATGACTTCTTGGTTTTCCACGCATAATATCCACGACTACGAATATCTATTTGTTTATCCGTAGGACCTGGAAAACATGAAATACGAGCAACTCGCAAATGCTCCTTGTCAAGCCCTTTTGCCTCCGCTCCCTGTTGCGCCATTTCCAAAGCTCGAAAAACAATTTGATGCCCTTTCCGCATGGATAGCTTGCATTGTGCCATGGCTTCACGAAGAGATAATCCACGAAGAACACTAATATCAATATCAAATTTTTTCCAGTTTGAAGGGGCTGCCTTCATTAGAAGAGTATACTGCGGTAGACGATCTTGAGAAGCCATTAATTCTGTTTCCAGTCGTTCACAATACAATCCCCAGTTAACCTTATGCATCACACCTTCTTCCTCCACTAAAGCGTAACGATCCTCTGTAACACGTTGACTATTCACAACACGTTCCCATCGATTGATATCTGGCATATTTAACTTACTAAGCCAAACCGATTTCCACAAACTACGGTCAAGCAAAATACGTGGAGTACTACCCTGGTGACGTTGGATAGCAAAAGGACGAATTGAAAAATATTGTTTTTTGTACCAGGTTTTGCGGGCCCCATGTCTTTGCGTTTGCAAAAACTGTGAGCCAACATTAGTTCGACGAGGAAGTACGACTCCCATCGCAAAACGGGGAGCTGGTTTTGGCATTGTTACTTCCTATAGAAAAAAAATTTTTGTTTTTTTTCTTTTCAAAAAGAACCTTCAGAAAACAAAAAAAAAAGGAATAATGTATATAACCTTCTATTTCCACTATAGCACACAAACAACAGAGATATACATCCATACACAGTAGCAGGGATAACAAACAACAACAACAACAAAACAAAACAAAAAAAAAAAAAAAAAAAAAAAAAAAACGATGTCCAATCACACTTCAAAGACTAAAAAAAAAAACTTCAAAAAAAAAGAATCTCTATATTTTTTTTTTTGTCACAGAAAGGCATCAATTAATCGCAATGTTCTTTTTTTTCCCCTCTCCACTTTTCGTTCTACGGGCCACAATCCTTGTAGAAAGAACGAACGAAGACTTTGGCCTTTGCAAAAATAACAACAACCATAAGAAATGAATGATATGTATTATGGTCCTTTTTTTTTTATTAAAGAAAAAAAAAAAGAATACCACAATCAATCCGTTCACAACGCCAAATATGAAGAAATATTACTCATTCATGATTTCCTTATATATATATTTGAACTCCATCGATTTAAGACGATACCAATAACGCAATCCATCTGCTCTATAGCCTTATATACAGCAGACATTGCCACATTAGTTATTACAAGAGCATTAGATTCTGTTAAAATCCATACTACTAACGTATAAACCGACGTTTCGAAGTACTATCATTTTGTGTTAACCCTTCTCTTTCTACTGATAGGCCTACTAGATCAACTTGCTGTAAACTTGATGGGTTACCCCTTGATTCTTCTTTATTAGAGAAACATAAACTCCTTTCATTTGTTTGTTTTTCTTCTTCAGGAATATCACTGCTGAATTCGGCAGGATTTGGAGTCAAAGGCGCTGGTGGTTTACTTCTTGTCAATGCAACAATATGTTTCATAGGTATATGGTCCGCTAAAAAAGGATGCAAAGCCACTTGATCCAATGAAGGTCTGTCTCCTGCATTACGTGACAAAAGCCATAAAGTAAGTTCCTTTGCGTTCTGACTAACTGAATCAGGCATCTTACAAATACGTCCCATTCTTATTCTTTCTTCCAATTCTCGTGCATCTGTTGTGTATCCAAATGGAAAACATCCAGTTAAAAGAACGTACAAAATACATCCCATAGACCAGATATCCGCTTTAAAAGCATCATAATTACCTCCCAAAACCTCCGGAGCTACGTAAGCAAGAGTTCCTGTCAGTGTATGAGCATATTCATCAATTTCTGCACGGAAATTACTTTGCTTATGTAACCGACTTAATCCAAAATCAGATATCTTTAAAATATTTTCTTCTGTTAAAAGAAGATTTTCCGGCTTTAAGTCTCTGTGTGCCACCCCATTTTGATGACAAACACGAACACCAGCCACAAGCTGAAAAAAAAGACCTGCAACCACATTTTCTGCAAGACAACCTTCTTGAGACAATATAAGCTTACAAACATCTCCACCAAAAACAGGCTCAAGAATAATGTAGTAGTTATTGGGACTTTCCAAGATCTCAACCAGTTGAACAATATTTCGATGTTTTAGTCTACGCAAAATTGAGATTTCAACCTTCACATCCGCCTCCACTCCCTGATTAGTCTTCGGAATAATTTTGGCAACAAAACATGCCCTAGTAGGAATGTGCCTTACTCGCTTGACCTTACTGTACGCACCTGCTCCAACGGTTTCTAAAACTTCGTATTCACCTACTCTTCCCATAACAAGCAAATCCTCTGATATTTCAGGAAGAGAGCTAAAGCAAAAAAAAAAAAAAAAGCTTTTCGTACCCTATAAGGTTTTTTCTTCTATAAGGAAGAAAAAGAAGAAGAAAAAAAAGGCGGGTGTCAAGAACTTAGAATGTTTGTACTTACACTAATATTATCAATAAAATTCTCTAACATACATTCGCACGTACTAAGGAAAAAAAAAAAAAAAAGAAACGTTACTATCAACAGAGGAAATGATACCAAACGTACTATTATAGTCATTGCAGAGATACTTCGTTAACCACCTGACAAGAGCCACATTCAAAACGAACATTAAACACATCGTTTCCAACTTGTACGGCATTTACACTACCACATTCTCCACAGCGAACTTGAATTCGTCGTGTTGTTTCAGAATGTGATTGCTGAGGTTGACTGTTATTTTGCGTCTGACCTTTTTTTAGCTCATGAGAACAACCACCACAGAGGATGGCATCATAAGTTCCATTAGGAATTTTGTTCAAGCATTCACAAAGGTTGCATTTCACAAGTTTTTTTTCATTGGTTGATAATACACTGGGATTCTGGGTAGAAGCAAGAGAAAGTGGTGTGTGGCATTGCTCACAGGTATATCGAACACCAGGAACAATATCATTATAGCTGTTAATAAAGGTACATGCAGGGCATTCCAAAGTAATACCACCTTGTGTTCGATTCGGATTTGTCTCGCTTTTAGAAGGATTTGCACTTCCATCAGGTCCGTTTATTTCTTGATGCAACTGCCGTGCCAAGGCAGCATCACTCTCCTCTTGTTGCAAAAAGCCTTGATCCTGCATATGAGAAATCTTTTGGAAATGAAATTAAGAAAAAAAAGAATAAAAGCATTTTGGCGTATTTGTACTTCTTAATAATAATAAAAAAAGTCTGCCTGGTGAAACAAGAAGGAAAAAAAAAAAAAAAAAAAACCACCAGCGCCATCATCATTGCGGCTGCGGGTCCGCGGCGTCAACCAAAAAAAGAATTATAAATCAAATAATAATAAACAAAAAAAAACACCACAACGCGCCAGAAGAATAAGAACATGTATGCATGAGCCCCGGCCGCCCCGCGGGCTCCGCGGCCCTCCCGGACCCCTCCCGCCGGCGGGCCGAGGTCCCAGCGCCCCCGCCCCCCACCGACGCCCTTTGCTCTTTTACCGTTTTTTTATTTTTTATTTTTTCTTCTTGGGGGTGGCAGGGCGTGCCAACGGCCCGGAACGAGGCGCGGTGGTCTCTTTTTCAAAATTTGTTATTTTGATGTTTGGCTGCCGCCGTGGCACTGCGGCCGCTGCGATGTTGGCGCTGGTGTTTATATATATGTATATATAAATATACTTGTTTTGTAAAATGTGGAGGGGCGGTTTATGGGCTGCTGTTATCATTATTATTATTATTTTTTTTTTTACTACTTTTAGTGGATATTTTTTTTTATATATATATTATAACTTTTTTTTTTTCTTCTAGCGCTTTTTAAAATTCCAGGGTAATGGAAGATGATGCAGAAGTAGCCTACAGGCGGGTGATAGAGGCATTAGAAACGGCTACTGTCCCTCCTGATCCGGATGCTCCCAGTTGCCTTATGTGGCGTTTAAGACCGAGCGAAGAAGCTGCTCTCGCAATGCAGCGGTATCTCCATCCGCCTCCACGTTGGGGACTAAATCTTAGTTTGTCTTCAATGTTTTTGGGTAGTGAAAAGTGCATCAGTATAGGACGCAAATTAATTTTAAATAATACTGTCACTACAATTGATCTTTCAATGTGTGATATGCAAGATAAAGGAGCAGTGGAATTTTTTTCTTGTTTAAAGCGAAATAAATGTTTAAAACACTTAAATATTGACGGTAATTATATAGGTGATAAGGGTGCAATTGCCGCAGCAAAATGTATTCAAAATTTGGAAACTCTGCATATGTCATGTAATGATATTCATGATGAAGGAGCGATTGCTATTGCTTCTTCTCTTAGACTTTCATCTAAAATCAAGACTATCAATTTGCGTGCTAATCGTATTACTTTTTATGGTGCATATAAATTGATTGATTCATTAGAACCCGTTCTTCATAGGATTTCTTCGGAGATTGCAGAAAATATTTCGAGAAGAGAATCTTCATTCGTTATAGAGGGTGATGAGACTACTAGTATATCAAGAAAATCCTCATCGCGAGGAGCGTTTGAGGGAAATGGCGATATTGCTACAGATAATGCCCCAGAAGAAACGGTGGAAACAAAGGAAATCAATAAGGATTCTCCTTTAGAGGTCTATAATGAAACACTTCATACACTTTGGCTTCGAGAAAATGTTGATATTCCCGAGGAATTTTTTAAAATTTTAGATACCATTCTAGTTAAAAGGTTTCCTCAACCCCCCAAGGGTCTTTCAAAGAAAATGAAGAAGAGAGGGAAAGAGACTTCAAAAGGAAAAGGTAGATAATTGCTTTTTTTTTTGTTCTTTTTTTTTCTTTTTTATTTTCTGTATAGTTTTTTTCTTTTTTTTTTAGATGTAAATAATGAGAATCAGGAGATTTTACCTCCTTTTTTTGTGTATTTTGTTATTCTTAATTGCATGACAAGCGAAGACTAACTTGAGAAGGTTTTTTTTTTTTGTTTCTTTTTTTCCCTCTTATCTGTTCTTTTTTTTTTTTGTTTTAAGAGCAATGTTTCACAAAAAACACACGGTAAAGGGTCAGGAAGCGGTAAGCAAGAAAGAATCTAAGAGAATTAGAGAAACTATTTTTGGTTATTTTGGAAAAGATTATTTAGAATGTTTGGAGTCGTTTTGGAAAAAAAGTGATGCCGTGACCCAAATAACTTGGGATTTTTCGACAGGTGGTTCTGCTTCATTTTATTTGGTTAACAAAATTCCCTTAGTTATATCAACTTCTTCTTTACCTGATGATTCTAACGGTTTATTACCAAGGGGTGAGATCGTTTTTATTCCGACATTATTTTTTCTCATGATAATGAGAGCTTACTACAAAGGTGAAGATGTCACCCATACCACATACTTTGGTTCAAGTGTTTGGACAAGAGGTGCAACGTCAGAGTATATCCTATCGGGAGCACACCTTATGATGCCTGGTATTCTTGACTTAAAAGTACAAAATGATAAGCTCCTTCGTGTGGGTGAAATAGTTTTTATTTTTACAGCGGGAATGTCTTGGCCTTATGGAATAGGATTGGCAACATCAGATCTTGTAAATTCATCTCAACGAGGAAGGGGAGTATATGTACTTCATTCTTACCGTGATTCTCTATGGGATTCTTATTTTATGGTATTTAACACAAGTTGGGCATCTATTACTCCTGCATTACCAGTAGAGTTTCAGGAAACTCTTGTTAATGAAAGATTACTGCAAAGTGAAGATATTCAAAATGAAGTTACTAATGAAGAAAATGGAGTGGAAAATGAAGAGAAGGAAATATATGAAGTAACAGAAACAACAGGGTCAGATATTTGTGATGATGAGGACCTTTTAATAAAATCCACATTAGAGAGGCTTTCTACTGACGATGCTTTACTGGATTTTGCACTTTGTGAAGCAATTAAGGGAATTACAAAGTCGATGCTTCCTCTTCCCCTTACTGAATTTTCTCCACTTTTACTTTCCAATTATCCAAGAATTCCAGGAGAAACAATGCAAATTGATCTTAAACAAACAAAACACAAAAAAATGCTTTCTTACCTTCGTCTTCGAAGTGATGCTCTTACTGTTTCTGAAATCAGTAAGGGTGTTTTTTCTGTTGTGCAAATAAATAAATCTTGTGAATTATTTCGTAAACATCGTTTAGACTACGGTGAATTCTTACAACAAGTTCATGAACCTGCAAAAGAAATGGAAATTTTAGAAGCTGAACAGCAAGCACTTCGAGAAGGTGGTAAAGGGTATATTAAACGACGTATAGTTTCTATTGAAACTTTATTTTCTCCACGAGGTGGAGATGCCATGGAATTAAAACGTATTATTTGTACAGGATTATTTGATAATGAAATTCAACAAAACTTTCTTTATTCAAAGGATATCGATAATGATTTTTTGGATGAACTTTACTCGCGGAAAAGTTTGTCTGAAAATCTTAGAAAATACATTATTGGGAAGGGTCTTTTAAAAATAGAAGGTAAAGGTGAGGGTTCTCCCTTTGTTGAGTTGACTGGAGCTCTTTCATTTTTAAGAAAAGATTCTGTTAGTCAGCTTAGGATTACAGAAATTGAAAATTTTATTTTTCAACACCTGTATACTTCTGTACATCAAATTATAATTGAAGCGAATCCAGTTATCAACGGTGTTGTGACATCAAAGTCTTTTTTTACAAGAATTACAAGGAGAAACAAGTTACCCAAAATTCTTATTTATACAGAAAAACGACAGGGAAACAAGATAGTTACAGTAGTTAAGTACTTGGATACATACGGTTTTGATCTTTCGGCATTGGCAAATCAATGGAAGCAGCTATTTTCAACATCATGTTGTGTACATGATCCATCCAAAGATTTCCAGAAACTAAAGCAGGGAACGAAGGTAACTCTGGAACTTCATCTTGGAGGTGGATGGTTGTCTAAGCTTACAACTGTGTTGGAAAAAGAATTAGGGCTTCCTCAACATTTGATCACAGCAGCTTCTAAGTAATCTCGTGAAATAATCACGCTTTCTGTTTTTTTTTTTTTTTCTTTAACGTCTAAATTGTTTTTTTTTTTTTTTTTTTACTTCTTTTATTTTGAAGAATGACAAAATAAAAGTGCCCTTCTTAATAAAAAGGTGTTTTCTTAATGTATACATATATATATATTTTTCTTTTGAATGTATTCCATTTTTTTTTCCCCCAAACTAGAAATCAGAAGAGAATATTATGAAGGCGTTGTTTGCAGCTGCTTTAGGGTTTGTGGGTTCTAGTTGGCACGCTTCGGGAACTGCAAATTGTACTGCTTCGCAGAGTCCTTTTTCGCAAACTGATTTTCGTTCGTTTACACTAATTAATTCTTACGATGAATCACATAATACGAAGGTTTTTCGCTTTGCTCTCCCAGAGGCTGACATGCCTTTAAATCTTGAGGTTTCCTCTTGTATTACGGCGAGGTACGTGGATAAGGATGGAAAAGATGTTGTACGCCCTTATACTCCTATCAATAAAAGTGATCAACGTGGGTACTTTGAAATTATTGTAAAAAATTACACTAATTCTAAGATGGGCAATCACCTTTTTTCCTTGAAAAAAGGTGATACTATGGATTTTAAGGGACCCTGGGTAAAACTACCTATTAAAGCAAATCAATATAAGTGCATTGGTATGATTGCAGGAGGTACAGGTATTGCTCCTATGTATCAAGTCGCTCGAAATGTTTTACGTACACCAAAAAATACATCAGAGATTTCTCTTATTTATGCCAATACACGCAAAGAAGACGTCCTTTTGGGAAATGAGCTCAATGAGCTGATGGAGACATATCCACTATTTTCACCCTATTTTGTATTGTCTAAAGCTCCTTCAGATTGGATGGGAGGTGTCGGATATGTGAATAAGGAAATGATTAAGTCCCTTATGCCACCACCAAATCGTGCAGGGGATTCTATTATCCTTGTTTGCGGACCTCCTCCTTTTATGGAAGCAATCTCAGGCGACAAAGATTTCAAGACTAAGCCACCTTCTCAGGGACAACTCAAGGGTATGTTAAAAGAGCTTGGATACATGGATAAGATGATATACAAGTTCTAATTTATTTTCTTTTTTTTTTCTTTTTTGTTTCTGAAAAAAAAAAAAAATGATTCATCTATTTTGGATATTTTTCTGTAGTACTTCTCCACAAGGATATATTTCTCTGGTGATTCCCCCTTTTTTCATTTGTGGTGATCTAGGGAGAGGGCGAAGAGAGGAAGCTGAATATTTTAAGGGAAGATATATGTTAAGTATTGAGGAGAAAAAAGAATTTTTCTCTTTCAGGTTTTGTTTTTATTCTTGTTCTCAAGGATATATGGTTCTTTTTTTTTATTTATTTATTCTTTGCTGTGCTATTTATGATATAATTCTTATTCTTGAATTATGCAAAAAGACAAAAAAAAAAATGTTTCTTTTGTGTTTCCCTTTTACCCTATTTTTTTTTCTCTCTTGTTCTTGAAAACTATTAAAATTTGAGGAGAATACTACAGTGTGACGCCAAAAAAAAAAAACAGAAAAAAATATATATTGGTCTACTTTCCCAAATAATTTTATTTTGATGAAGACTTTTATCGCTTCTGCCGCCGCTGGGTTGGTAACTGCCAACTATTTTCGAACTCAACACTCTGTTGAAGCTCAGAGTATGAGAAAAACTGCTTTTTCTCAAGAGGAGTTTTTTGTATACAAGCTACAGGATGTGAAGAGCGAGACACATGACACAAAGTTATTTACTTTTGCCCTTCCTAATAATAATATGCCATTGAATTTTGAAGTTCCATCTTGCATTACTCTTCGTTTCGTGGATGAAAAGGGTAATGTCGTAATGCGACCATACACGCCTCTTAATTTGCAGAATGATAAGGGTACTTTCGAACTATTGATTAAATGTTATCCTCATTCAAAAATGGGTACCCATCTACATAATATGAAAGTAGGCGATACTATTGAAGCACAAGGACCTTGGAAGACGATGGATATCAAACCTTCCCAGTACGAACATATTGGCATGTTGGCAGGTGGTACTGGTATTACCCCTTTGTATCAAATTGCGCGCAATTTTCTTGCCGATTCAAGTAACACGACAAAGTTTTCATTGGTATCCTGCAATAAAACAAGGGATGATATTTTATTAAAGAATCGTCTTGATTTATTGTCACAGAAGAACCACGACAAATTTACTCTTTTTTATATGCTTACAGAGGCTCCCATTCTGTGGTTTGGCTATAAGGGACATATTACAAAGTCTGTCATTGGGGAAACTATGCCAAGTCCCAAATCCAGAGGAAAGGCGATGGTTCTAGTAAGTGGTCCACCGGGTTTCATGAAAGCAGTCTGTGGTGAAAAGTCAGGACGTTCCCAAGGACCTCTTGGAGGTTACCTGAAAGAAATGGGTTATTCAGAAGACATGGTCTTCAAGTTCTGAGGTGTCAGTAATATATTTTCCTCGAAGTGTTGCACTTTATTTCCATCTCTATCGAAAAAAAAAAGAAAGCAAGAGGGTATCAAATTAACTTGACTGCTTTTTTTTTTTATCTCTTTCTGAGAACATATAATCAAAAAAGAAAAGGAGAGCGAAGCATCCTTCCCCTTTCGGGCAATTGGGTAAATTAGAAAGGTGTTGTGTGCCATGGAAGTTAGTGTCTAAACACGATCATATTTAGAATTTAGTAAAGCAAAATAAGTCTGAGTAAAGTATATATATATATATATATATATATATATATATATATATGTATGAATGTATGTATATACTTTTTTTTTCCTGCCAGCGGAAAGCGAAAATACTATTTTAATACTTTTTTTTTTATTCCTGAGGGTGACTGGTTCTGAGAAATTTGCTTGAGTTACTTCCCCTCTTTTTCTTTCTTTTAGTTGGGTGGATGGGATGTCTTTAACTAGTGGGACACCTGAATTTTTTTTTTCGTTTTTGTCTTTTTATGACAGCTTGCGAAAAGAATGATCGAGTCTTGCGCCAAAAACCAACTGATTAGGTTAAAATATTTCATAACAAGTTTGTTATTCTCTTTTTTTCTTAGGAGGCTGTCAAATGGAAGTTTCTGAAAAACCCACTCAACCCAATCCTTACCGTCCCTAGCGGGGAACGGGTTAAAAGGGCTTGGCAGCACTTGCATTTTGTCAGTACGGGTATTTATTAATGGGTCAATCATCAGGAAGTGGGGTGGGAAATATTGGCATGTATATATGAATTTCAGGGAAATGTGGGTTTAAGGCAATAAATTATTATATTACTTTTTCTTTGTTTTATTTTATTTTTATTTATTAAGAGGGAAAGCAAGGTTTAGATTATCCTTTAAAGATACAGGGACAAGGACACCTTCACTCTCATACAAATTACTGAATACGCTGGACTCTGCAGGGCATCTCCCGCGTTTAACGACCAACAAATTGAAACAAATTCTAACAACACATGAAACCACAATTTACTCAATTAACTCTCTCAGGCTTGTTTTAGAGAATGACAAGTGATGTAAAAGATGATATGAGTCTTTCATTATTGATCGGCTAACATATTTACCTACACCCGAATTGCTACATTTCGAGGCGCAATATGTAGTTCTCACATCTCGCGTCGATTAAGAACATGAGGTGTTAGTGAGAAGGTACCGTTTAGGGTGTCGGTGCTTAATATTGGTTGTATTATAACGCGGTTGGAATAGGAGTTTTTGTGTCATTTATAACATATTTGACCTTTGCAGAGATTAACCCAACGCTGGCGTCCAAGAAAAAGTTTAAGAGTAATTCCATTAGCGAATGAGGCTCTTTTGTTAAATGCGGGGGTAATGAAGGATGCCTCATCACTAGAAACGGGTTCCCGTTTCCTGGCACGACAACTTGGCTAAGGGAAGCAGAGGTGTCTGGAGAGGAAGGGACCTTGGAATCTGCCACTTTGTAGGTCCCTCTAGGTGAGTCATCCGGCAGAATAAAATGTTTAATTGTTACGGTCTTTTTTCTTTCTTGTGATTTATGGCATTGTTGTACGTAATTGATTGAAACACCACAGTGTATTTTCCCCTTTTTTTTCTAATTATTTCTTTTTTATGCTTGGCCTAATGAGGAGGCATATTCCTTTGTGCTTTCTGTTGCCGTTTTTATTGCTGTTTCTGTGCAGGAATTATATGGCTGTTTGATAATAAAAATTTTTGCCGTTTACACTGGTTGCTGTGGATGTGCGCTCTGTCGATGGTAATGTACTTTGGTCAATCATATATTATCTCTTTTATTTTTGTTTGACTAACTTTCACGTATTTTTCTTAACCTTCTCTTAACATGTTGCGGGAGTTTGCATGTTTCTTTTGTGATATTTTCACTTGTGTCTGCCTTTTCCAACCCCTCCTCTGTGTCTGCCGTGCTCCCATTCGGTTTCTAATCCAGCGTCGCCTTATTTCGTGGCCTCTGCTGGTTTGCTAGCCGAAGAGATACATCTGTGGTGCACAGTGGGGTGGTTGGCTATCGCTGCTCCTGTCAATCTTCTCTCTCCCTCTCTTCACTATCTCCTCTTTAGGGATGTCCCATTTTCGTAAACGATGTGTCTTGTTTGTTTTGGCGAGTGCCCTTGTACTGTTAGTTCTCTACGCTAATACGAGGGACGCTCTTTGGTCAAATGACGATATTGAAGAGACACCTGTCGAGAAAGACAACCGTTCTTTTTTTGCCGATGGAATGGAGGAGTCATTAGAACCGGATTTGGGCTGGAGTGGAACCATCTGTGATGGCGGTTCGTGGCTAAACCACAGCAAACTGCGTCAATACTGTCAACACCCTGCTGTTTTAAGTGTGGCTGTTTCTCCCGTGTACTGTGAGATGATTCTGCGCCCCGGTCCGCCTCCGTGTGGGTTTTACGTTGGGGGTGTGTTCCGGAAGCCACTGAAGCTGCTCTCATTAGATGCACTGAAACAGCAGCTGCGTGGGGAGCCTGAGGCGTGTTTTTCCCCGGCGACGTACAACGGTCCGCAGAGCAACGCAACGCTTGTTGCCTCCGACATTGGTAATGCCTCAGACGCTGTGTTTGAGGTTCGGCCAGCTGCATGCCCGAGCTATCGTTACTTCAGTCCGCGTGTGGCGCTGTCAATACTGCACCATGCGAGCATTGGTCGCAACGGGCGTGGGGCTCTTATTACTGGTGACTCGATGGTGCGTCAGGTGTTATTAAGACTGATGTTCTTTCTTCGGGGTGAGGAGGTATTCTCTGAGCGTCACTTTCAGCGTGACGTCCTGTACGTTGTATATGAGGACCGTGATGAGTTTATTTTCGAATTGGGATGCCAGCACAACAATCTTCTAAAAAAGTACTATCCTGGGTACAGGCCACCTTCTGGAAGCAGTAGTTGTCCTCATGCAGCTCCGCTGGGTGGGCGTGTGGTAGCCATTTTTCTGTATCTGTGGGATCCGTTGTTGCACAAATTCCGTGAAGATGCACTGCTGATCAAGGATCCCCCTGTGCACATTTCTTCCTTTATGTACTGGTTTTTCCATGAGTTTGATCGCCCTGATAACATTGATAAATACTTTTCCCGCATTCGAAGCCGTGCTGGTGGTGCAGTGTCAAATCGCACTGCTTTTTCAGACTTTCTGTATTACACGACCCCTTTTACCAGTAAGATATCGTCCCATTGTATCCCTGATAACGTGCGCGTTGCGAGGAATGCACGTATGTGTAAGCTGATAAAAGAGATGGACGGCAAAACGTCTATAGGTAGAGGAGAAGGACAGAGAATGTCATTGGTGGACTTTGCTGCCATAACAGATGCGCGACATGTAGAGCGGGTCGTTGACAAAATGCATTTTATGTGTGATTTTGAGCCAGGGTACCCCAATGTTGTGATGAGGCATAAAGTTGCACATATTAGCTGCAGGGATTCTATGAACTTAGCGTTGCTGCAGTGGACGCTGCGTCTTCTGTGGGCCCGTGGTTTTGCACCATAATTCTCTTTTTCTTTCTACTTATTTATTTTTTATTTATTTATATTTTTTTTGTTATTTTTTTTTTTGTTATTTTTTTTTTTGTTGTTTTTATTTATTTATTTCTGTGTTTGTAGATGTTTTTGAAAAGAATATGCACCTTTAAACGCTTTACATTATGTTTGATGATGTCTGTGTGCCGTTGATTTTGGTTTTTTTACTTCCATTTCTTTGGTGCTGTTTTTTTTCTTTTCCTGCGAGAATGGCTGACTGAATGCCTAAAAAAGGACTTTTTTTAGGAGCTTGTGAAAAGAATATGTATCCGGTTTTTGTCTACTATAATTTGGGGTTGAGTTATGTTTGCTTTTTCTCCTTTGGGTGTTGTTGTAGTCAAAGAGCCTCGGTTTTAATCGAATAGAAGGGATTTAAGATTTTGGTTTTTTCTTTTCCGTCCCACCCACCCCCTTATCCCCACCACGCGGAGGGTTCTGGAGTGGAAGGGACTCTAGAATCTGCCACTTCGTAAGTCCTGCCGGGTAATCTTTCGGCGGTATAGAGAATTTGATGGTATGTTTTGTTTATTGCGTGTTATCATTTTATGATAAGTATGTGTGTTGGAATCATTCGAAACTCCATAGATTATTTGTTTGTCTATTTGTTTCTATTTATTTGTTTACCATTGGACAAAGTAGGAAAGCATATTCGTTTTTTCTTTTTTTCCTTTTCCGTCCCACCCACTTCTACTTCTACTCCCTCCTTGTGGAGGTGTCTGGAGAGGAAGGGACCTTGGAATCTGCCACTTTGTAGGTCCTGCTAGGTGAGTCATCCGGCAGAAAAAAATGTTTAATTGTTACGGTTTTTTTTTCTTTCTTGTGATTTATGGCATTGTTGTACGTAATTGATTGAAACACCACAGTGTATTTTCCCCTTGTTCTTTTCTAATTATTTTTTTTTTTTATATTTGCGCGAAGTGGGGGAGCATATTATTAACTATATTCTCTTCCTCCATATCTAGGCAATATGGAGGGTGATATTGTATGACTACTGTTTTTTTTTTTTATTGTTGTATGATCGTATTGAATTATAGGATGAGTGAAGTTTTGAGGGAAGTTGTCACATGAACAATTTTTTCTTCTTTCTTGTTTTCCTTCTCACCCTTGCAGTTTTTTTTTCTTTTTCCTACGTTTTTTTTTTTTTTTTTCTTTCGTTGGCAATAGGGTATAGGAAAAAAGAACGAAAAAAAAAAAAGAACAAGTTGGAACCAAACAGAGATGTATCGACAAAGTGTTAAACTGCTTCTATTTAGCAAGCCCATTACTCAGGGATACGCTGCTCAGTTACCGCAACCAACACCAACGAGCCGCCGCACATCATGGCGTCGAGCCTTTGATGTAAATGAGGAAGTGCGGGAGATGTATACACCCAGTGCAGAGCGGTATGAGGAATGGTATAAAGAAACATACGGCATTGAGGATCTCAGTGATGGGTGTTGTGCCTCTGGGGCGGCGTCCAATAGACTTTTAGATGATCGAAAGAATATGGAGACAAGTGTTGGATTGCCTGATCTTCATGCTGTGGAAGATGAATTGGAGTTTTGCTCACAACAGTTCAACCACAATACACTCGTACGATGACGTAGTAAAAGAGAGAGAGAGAGAGAGAGAGAGAGAGAGAGAGAGAAAGAGAAAGAAGATCTCTCGTTAATCATATTGGTTGTTATTGTTTTTTTTTTTTTTTCACATTTGATGAGATGCGAGTGAAAGGTTGCGTTTTAGGTTCTTTGATTGTGGATGGAGTAATAGTTGCGGCGTGTGTACCAATATGGTTGACCAACAGTAAATCCTTTGAACTCCTCTTGAATGTGGTATTCTTTTTTTTTTTCTGTCTTGTTTAAACCTCTTTTCTTTTTGTTTTTTTGATCTGCTGACTGGGATTCTGTGTTTTATTTTTTTCTTGTTTTTCTTATTTTGATTATCTTTTTTTTTTTTTTTTTATATTTTTTATTTAATTTTTTAAAGTGTAACACAGTTGTGTCTCACGTGAACTTTGCGGTCATACCCTATATACAGAAAGATAAGGTATTCAGGTATAAGCAAAGGGTTTTCTTTGACAAACCATAGCAAGAGAAAATAATAAAGGCAACAGAAGCAAACGGAAAAAGAAAAAAAAAATATTTCAAGCGAAACCTCAATCATTTTACAGCATTAACAAGAACAATATCAAAAAGAGCAATATTGTTAATGGATCCTAACGGTCTTAGTGAATTGTGCACTGGGGTTTCTGTATCAAATTCTTTAAAGAACAAGATGCCTTCTGAAGCTACACAGCAAACCACTAACGAGGGATATGAAGAGAGCCATCGTCTCTTAAATACTATCGATGTTCCTTTTAAAGATACCAATGCATGTAATGACGACGATATGTTTCCATTCCCTGAAAATACAGAGGCTCTATTGGATTCTTTAGAGTCTTCTATGAACCTGACGGACGCGGTACAGACAGCAACGAATACATTGGCTTCTTCTACATTGTCTGTTACTCCAGCCCTCCAAAACTCTATGAATGTATTCGCCATGTTGTGGGAGGGAGGAGTGAAACCAAATTACTTATCATTTAAAGAGGATGATATCTTTACTACTGGAGATATGCCCACTAAGGTATCACCAACTTCTCTTTTACCTCGTTCTGTTGCTGCAGTAGCTGCCGCTGCCGCTGCTGTTGCCCCTGAGAAACTTTCAAATTCGGATGGTAATAGAGATGACAGTGGTTTTCCTCCCGCATTATCAGGGAGTGGAACATCCATCAACGTATCTCCTGAGGAGGATGCTGCCTTTTTAAATAGAATGCACGTGCAGCCCTACACAGAGGATGTTGATTTCTGGGGATTGCAAACAGAGGAGATAAATACCACCACACGCAATAATATGGATGATAAGGCGAATACAAAACCAACCAATACATTACCCAATACAGATTCCGTATCTTTAGATTCTGTTGATTGTGGTATAGAAGAAAATGAAGATAATGCGGCTCCGGAAGAGTGTCTCTCTGTGGTGGATCCACAACGCACAAAACTTCAAGTGCCATTACGTTCCATTGAACCCACCAAAGCCCTTGAAGGAGTAGTGCGACACCCAAGTTTATGTCTTCTTTTTCAATCAGGTCGTTGTCGACAAGGTGCAAATTGTTATCAAGTACATGTTGATCCAGCAATAGTAAAGCGACTACGCAAATATGTTGAGAGTCTTCCCTGTTGTTGTACATTTCATGGTGATTGCAATACCAAATTATGGGATGCTCAAGCACACGCCAATCAAAGTATGTCTTTAAATGGAGTGATCGTCCCACTCAACCGTGTGGCTTATACAAGTGGACTCAATCGATTCCTTACAAATGACTCACAGAAACCGTTGAGTACACATATTCTCTGTCGTTTGCATGGAAAACCAGGTGGATGTCGTTATGGGGCGGATTGCTGGTATGTACATGTCTGTCGGGAGATCATGGCAAAGGAATTCTCCTACATTGCGGAATCCACCGTCACACCCTCATGGAATGGAAATCATAATCAACTCTCACTACACACCGATCGTAGAGGAAGAGCAATGAGTGCTGAATTTACCATAAATGCCGCACAACAACAACATCCAATGACATTAAGTTCGGCTTCTGCAACTCCATTTCATCCCTCAGCAGAAGCGATGAATTTCTTTGCGGAAAAGTACAGAAATATAAATATGGGCCCTCAAGAAAATACATTTCAGCATTCCATTTCACCTCTCTGGATTGTTTCCGACCCTATTTCGAAAAAAACAGTAGAAGTCATACCAGGGACCAATACCTTTAGAAATACAGGATTGCAAAATAAAACAAACAACACTAATAATAATAATAATAATAATAATAATAATAATAATAATAATAATAATAATAATAATAATAATGCTAATAACTCACTCCGTGGAGATATGCATGCGGGCGGTGTGGCTCAAACTGTTCTTCCACATTCTCGCATGTCCGCACTCGATCACGCTGTGCCGATCACTGTGGGATCCTCCACTCCAGGAGGCGTGGCATTCGCAACTCCCATGTTGACAGGCAATCCACTCACATCTTCTCTCCCGGTGGTTCAGGCCTGTTATCTCATCAATCAAACCCCAAATGGAATGGCAACCCTCGTCAGTGCAGAGGCCTCAAGAGCGGCACCATATACAACCACCACCACCACCACAGCGATATGGCCCTCCCAACAACAACAACAACAACAACAGACATGGAATCTACCGCAGTATTGGGATCCAGCCGTGCAAGTGGCATTGGTGGCCTCACGGAGAGGATGTGCAGGAAAGAGTAATAAACGAAAATCTTGTCCTAAGCAATCGGAATTCAATACAGCTGTGGTCTCTTTTTCTGCGGCCTCAAAGTCTTCCTAAATGGAAAGAATAGTTCCGGGGAAAAGCCAACAAAGAACCTTATATATATATATATATATATATATATATAATGTGTGTGTATGTGTTTCTGTGTATTTGATTCTATACATAGATGAACTTTTTTTTTTTTTTTCTTCCCTTTATCTGGCTTTCGTCTTTTCAAATGCATAAAGAAAAGAAAATATGTATGTTAGCGCATAAATTACAGATATGATCGCTATAAATGGATAAAGAAAGAATACCCCCCTTCCTTTTCCCCCCTTTAATAAAAGAGAAAAAAAAGGAAAGTAAAAAAGAAAAAGACAAAAACACTCTCTTTTCTTTATTATTATTATTATTATTATTATTATTATTATTATTATTATTATTATTATTATTGAGTGTCTTCTATTTTTCGTTTTCTCTGCTTTTATTGCTAAAGCCAAGGGAAATTAAAAAGAAAGAAAAAAAAAATATATATATGGTTTTCATAAGAGGTTGAGAATGAACTAAGGAAAAGAGCAATAACAACAACAACAACAACAAAAAAAAAAAAAAAAAAAAAAAAAAAAAAAAAACGTCGTTTTATTTTTATTTTTCTATTTTTAATTTTAATTTAATTTAATTTTTTTTCTTACAAACATCCCTCTCATTATTTCTTCTATTTTCTCCGTTGACAAGTAAAAGACGCACGGGGGTGTTCGGAAGAGAAAGAAAACAAAACAAGAAAAGAAAAAAAAAAAAAAGACGGTACATGTATGTATATATATGTATGTATATATCTATGTATGTATGTATATATGTATATATATGTTTATATAATACAGATTGATAAAGTGTGAAATAGAATGTGTCTTCTTTTTTTTTTTTTTTATTATGAGATTTGTTTTCACATCTCTCTCTCTTTTGTTTTTTGTTTTTTTCTCTCTTTTGTGTTTATTTATTTATTTTATTTATTTATTTATTTCTATGGGCGTGCCTGAGGCCGCAGGGGAATACAGATTTACACAGACGTTTTCCCTCCCCTCTTCCTCCCTCTTTGGTATTTCTATTTAGTTTCGTTTAGATCATTATTACCAATATCAATTCCTTCTTCTTGCGTGAGTTCTCTCTATTTTTATTTTTATTATTATTATTATGATAGGCGCGAACGTTTGGTTGTAATAAATGCGGAACTTTATTTTCCTTTTTTTTTTTTTTCTCAGAAATGCCTGTAATTTATCTTTATTATTTGTTTTTATCTTACTTTTTGCTGTTGCGCCCAAGATGAACATTATGATCAATACGTTTATTTATTTATTTATTTATTTAT